TAAGTAGCTGGTCAGATAGTAGCTTGAAGCTCTGGGACCTTAAACTTCAGGAGTCTGATTACTGGCCAGAAGAACGGGGTCCAAGTCAGATGTCTAGGCCAGAGTGGGGACATGGCAATCTGAAGGGCCCCGAAGTTCAGTTACTGTTGAAACTGAGGCTCTTTCTGGTGAAGAACAAAGACATATTGACAATCAGATACATTGTCCCCTCTCAAGAATTGATCCAAGTAAACCTGTCAATCACCCGGACAGGAAAACCCACCTAAATATGAAGGTTAGCACAATGGTCCCTGGACCATCGCCCACCATCCCTTCTAGAAAGGGCCTCTTTTGTAGTAAACCTTTCCCATCCTCTTCAGTATAGTGTGGGTCTTGTGTGAATTCTTTTGACAGAGACAACAGCTAAGTTACTCAGGATAAGATACTAAGTTTCCATGTCACCTCTATGAACTAAAGTTCCCAGAAAGAGAACTTATCACCTATCTGGAACATTCTACAAATTGGATTGGCCAACTATGACTTCAACAATTGTGAAGATGTTACAGTGTTGCTAACTCTGAGACAAATATCTTGGGCTATCTTTTGGCCCCTTTGAAGAGCCATTTATTGCCTTCCTCTGTACATGACCTAACCCTCTATTAGACCCATCTTTTTGAGAGGTGTGAAGAGGTCCCTAGCTTCCACCAACCCAAAGGCTAAAAATGTCATCAGATACATAACTATGCTATAACCTGCCTACCTGATGTTCCTGCTAATGTATTTAGAAAATATCTTGATATATTACTTTCTTTGTTCTCTTACTAGAAAAACTTCACAAAACTTTTATGTTGCAAAATAAAATTTGGGGCAAACTAAATTTTTTAAGGACCATGGCTGTTCATATTTGGCTCCAGGAAAAAAAAAATTATCTCCTACCCGCTTCAAGGTGAGAGCTGTGGTTTTTATGCCCCCACTGTGCGCTGGTGTCTTTGGAAGCCTGTCAATGACCACACTCCTCAGTCATCAGGAGCCTTGCACATTCTGTTCCTACTTGTGTTTGAAATCTCCCATAACAAACGCCAAGGAAACAACAGACCTGGGCCTGCCACTGCAGTGTGACTCAGTTTCCTGGAGTGCTGGGCC